CACGCAAGGACCGGGCTCCTGGGCCAGGCTGCCCACGCAGCTCCTTGGCAGGGCTGAGACCCTCCCCAGCCCCACCACATCCACAGTAGGGAGCAGCCCAGGGACCCCCCAAAGCACGAGGGTCCAGGGGAGAGGTGGCCCTGGCACAAAGCCCTGGGTGGGACCCTCTCCCTGGTGCAACCATGGCAGCAGCAGCAGCAGAGCCTGGAGAGGAGGAGGAGGCGCCGCCGCAGCGCGCGGACTGGAGTGAACCGGAGGAATCCAAACAATATCCCCTTTCTTCAATGTTCCCGTGGCACGGGGAAGGAGCAGAGGAACCCTGATTAGAACCAGAGGCGAACGCCCCCGGGAGCTGCACCCACCCAGGGGCTGCTCGGGGTGGCACTGCTCAGCCTGCTGTGGTTTGCCAAGGACACAAGTGATGTGGGGTCCATCCTCCCTCCAACCCAACCCTCAGCACTCCAGTCACCCCACAGAGTCACTTCTAAATGACTCTCCTGCCTTGGCCTCGCTGCAAAGCTCAGAGCAGCAGCTCTGTTCCATCAGGCACATCACTTGGCCTCTCTGCAAAGGGCCTGGCTGGGTTTCCAGCAGAGCTCAGCAATCCAGGCCAGTGGGATGGTGTGGCACTGGCTATCAAGACAGGCCCCTTGAGATATCTCAAGTGTCAGCCACCCAAATTGCTCGTGTCTCTGGAAAACTCTGCCCTTCATCCCCAACTAGCCTGTTAAGATGGAAATGAGTTGAGCAGGAGAGATAACATCAGGAACCCTGTGCTGGCCCCTGGGGAAAGGGAAGAGCTGGTTTTGTGTGACAGCCCCTGTGCCCTGCCCGTGGCTCCATACCTGGTGAATCGAACGTTGCAGATGTTGCACTCGTAGGGTTTCTCCCCGGTGTGGGTGCGGATGTGCCGCGGCAGTTTGCCGGCGCCTTGGATCACCTTCTCGCAGATGGGGCACTTCTGGAATGCTTTTGCCCTGATCTTCTTCTCTACCTTCTGGGACCAGGACGGATACACATCACCCTCGTTCGAACTGCCGAAGTATTTCAAGTAATAATCCATCACTCCGTCGTCGTCCTTGCGGTCGTCGTCCCCGAGCTGCTGTCGCCCCACCGAGTTGATCATCTGCTGCAGCAAAGCGCTGGCGGCCAAGTCATCCACCTCCCTCGCATCATCCTCTGTCTCTGCTCCAGTAGGGATGAAACTGGGGGAGTCACCTGCTTCCTGCTGGTCCAGAGGGCCCCTGGGGGTCCCTCCCTCCTCTTCTCCAGGGGTGGCCAGGCCACGGCTGCTGTAATGTCCGTTCTGAGAAGGGGAAAACATGCCTCCAGGTGCTGGTTCCTCCTCCTCCCTGTCCAGCCACATGGCTGGGTTGCTGTCAGGATCACAGTCACTTGCCTTTGGTCTTTCAGTTGCAGGGGCTTGTGTGTAGAAGTCCAGGCCGTTGCAGTTTGACTCCTCCTCCTCCTCTTGGCCTCGGAAGTTCAGTCTCTGAAGGTCTCTCAACTCTGGGTTGGTCCACTGAAAGCTGCCTTGGTGGCCATTGACGGGATTGCTCTGGAAGAACTCCAGGTATTCTTTTGCTCTGAGATGGTTCCTCTGATCAATTTGATCTACTGTATCCATCTGGTCATTTTTGGCCAGAATCTTCCTGTCCAGGAGATCCGTGCAAACATCCCTTACGGCCGGGATCTCCAGCAGCGTGGCGGCGTTGAGGATGTCGTTGACGTTCGAAGTGCTGACAGTGAGGGTCGCGGTGTAGGCGAATTCCAGCAGCGCCGACAAGGCATCTGCGCTCACAAAGTCTATCTCATACACGTTTTGCTGGTCCACCACTAACCCTGAGGTGAAGAGCTTCTTGAAGTACTGGCTGCAGGCTGCCAGGACGGAGCGGTGCGTGGGGAACTCTTGGCCTTCCACCAAGATGACCACGTCGCACAACAACCCGTTGTTTCGCTGCTCGTTCAGGCTGCTGAGGATGTCGCTGCTGTGATCAGGGAATGGGATCCCTATGGGGCCATCCACGCCACCCGCCATCTTCTCTGCAAAAGGCTGTGGAGAAGGAGGAAAAGGCAATGAGGCAGAGCTTGGAGGCATCACAATGCATGGGATAAGTCCCTAGGGATGTGTCGCAAGCTGGCGCTTGGCCTGCTTGGCAGCAAGGACATCTACGTGTCTCCTGTGTCTCTCTACATCCCTGCACCTTTCCATGCCCCTGTGCCTATGTCCCTTGTGCCTCTCCATGTCCTTGCACCTCTCCATGTCCCTTGTGTCTTCCATATCCCTTGTGCCTCTCTATATCTTTGTGCCTTCCATATCCCTGCACCTCTCCATGTCCCTTGAGCCTGTCCCTAAGCCCAGCAACCTGCCTGCCATCAGCACTCCTCAGCATCAGGTGAGGATGGATCTCTGCTCACCTTTGCTCTGGGAAGGAGCAGAAGCAGAGCCCAGAAGAGCTGAATTAGCACAGATTCAGGCCAGAGCCAAAAGCCTTGGCAAGGAGCAGGGATCACACAGTATGGAATGAACCACCAGGTGTGCCCAGGATGGGGCTACAGAGGCCTGAGCCTCACCAAGGGATCCCAATCCACCTCTAGAAGCATTTCCCAGTCCAACCCTTCTCCTGGAGAGGTGCCCTGCTCATTCAGCCCAGAACTCCTGATAAAATGATGCCATCACTGGGAACACTCGCCCCTGGGGTGCCAAGGTCTGCAGGCAGGGGGAATCCTTTGGGAAGGGCCTAGCAGCAAGCAAAAGGGCATCAGGGGAGCCCCAACCACCCCAACCTGCTGCTGTGGGTGTTTGGCAAAGAGATGAGCTGAAATCCATGAACCCAAAGCACCTGCTGCACCTTCCCAGGAGCAGGACAGAGGAAAGGACACTGGGATCAGCAGCCCTGAATCTCAGAGAAGTTTCAGCAGAAGTTCTTCCCAGTGCCAAGTGTTTGTCTGGGACAAGATAAAGTTACTCCTGGCAGATCTACCCGATTCCAAAGGCTGGAAAAGCCAGAGGGAACTGAATAGCTCCATTGGGAAGGGATTCCCTTCACTGGGAAAGGGACATTGGGGCCAAACATGGGCAAGAGTGAATCCTGCCTGGCTTCACTGCACCACCAACCTGAACAAGGTCCTAATCCTCCCATGATCCCAGCCCTGTCCAAAACTAGGAGCACCATCTCCCTCCTCTCCATGGCAAGCAGCAAACCCACGTGCTGCTTGCAGCAAGATATCATCTGCCCATAAATCAACACATCCCAACCACTGGGATCACTAGAAGCCAAGAAATACATGTAGTAATCAGGCCACAAAGCACAAGGGATAAATATCCAAGTCCTTATGTTCCAGCTGGGGAAACTGAGGCACGGAGGGACATGGCCTGTCCTGCACAACAGGGGGGACAGATGAGTCAGGACAGATCCAGAACAGGAATAATTATACAGGAAGTAACTCCCAGCACTGGGTTCTAGCACAGGAGACCAAGTTGCACAACTCTGGTTTCCCCCACCCACCCCTTTCCTCCTCAGTAGTTTTCCATATTTACTTCTTTTGAAGAAGTTTGGCTAATCCAAGAAAAAAAAATAATAAATGGAATTGCTGTACCTTCTTGTTTTAGACAGGGAAAAGGCAGGAGGAGGAAGGCTTGAGACTGTGGGACACTGACCCAGAGCAAATCCCTCAATATTCCACACAACAGGAGGAAAGCAGCATTCAGCTTCCCATGGGATGAGGGTAAGGATCCAGGCTGGATGCACAGGGCAGACACAAGTCCTGCCAGCAAGACCAGGTGGCTTCCAAGACACCTGCAGCAAGGATTCCAACACCAGAGCCATCTCCTGGCTCCAGGATTTGACCTCAAAGGGTCAAAAAACCCCTCAGGGGTTTGGAAATCATGGTCCTGGCAGAGAGGAAAGGGTTGTTTGAGATCCAACTCAGGTACCAGCTCCAGGTGTGACCTTGGGCAAGGTCACCACATCCCACCATCCACCACAGGGTGTCCAAGAGATCCCTTCTTGCCTCCCAAGCTGGAATTCCATGGGAGGTTTCTGCTGCCTCAGCATCCCTTGCACCATTCCCACCAGGACACCCTCAGAGTCTCTTGACTGGAACCACCACTGCTGCAGCACTCCCAGGAAAGCAGATCCAACATCCCTGTTCACCTCCCAACACCTCCTGACCCCCAAAAAATGGCATTAAAGCCTTTCCCCTCTCCAGGAGATGCTTCACAGAGCTGTTTTTCCCCTCCAGAAAAGCTAATTTGAGCTGTGTGAAGTATTTGGAAGCTTCATGGAATGATCCTTGAGGAGCTAAGCTCCATTCCCTGGGTTTTGTTGGGAGCAGAACATGGATCCAGGGTCTGAGGGGACCTGGGGGAGCAGCCAGGGGGTGTAGGCAAGGTCAACCCCCTGGGCTGGGGGCTGGGACAATCAGCTGGACAGTGTGGGAACCACGACAGAGTCATGAGACTGCTGAGGGTTGGCATGGAGAGGTGTCCAAACTTGGCCACTCACACAACACACCCTTTGTGTCCCTCAGCTGTGGGGGCTGAGAGGACATCAGGGGGCAAAGAGGCTGCTCTGAGCCCCCCAGGGATGGATTTGGGCCATACACCATATCCAGAGACTCAGCCCTGAAAAATCACACCCTGTCATCCCTTTCCAAGGGGGTGAACAGCTGGAATGTTGGTGCCTGGGGGTTAGGAACAGGAGATGGGAGTCTTGCACTTCATGGTTTGGGGGTTTTAGACCTTCCACCTCATGGTTTGGAGGATTTTGGACCTTCCACTTCACGGATTTGGGGGTTTTGGAGCTTTTTTTGGTCTTCCACCTCATGGATTTGGGGGTTTTGGAGCTTTTTTTTTTCAGTTTTCCACCTCATGGATTTGGGGACTTTGGAGCTTTTTTTTCAGTTTTCCACCTCATGGATTTGGGGTTTTTGGAGCTTTTTTTTACTCTTCCATAAGATGAAAGACTCCAAACAAGTTCCAAACCCCTAAATCCACACCCTACTCATAGCAGGAACCAGCACAGAGCTCAACACCACAACACCATGGATGAAATGCACTTGGAAAAGTTCTGATGGCCAAGTGACAAGTGACACTGGCA